GGGGAAGCTTGATTTCATCCTCAAAATATGCAACTTCTCAGACTACTTTTTGAGAGCGACCATTTTTAGTGTATAAAATTTGAAAATGTCATTAGGGAAAGACCAGGGTAATGGACTATTTGCCCGTTTGCAGCATATTCCCATCTTCTCATCTGGAAAATTAAATCTGATTATAGCTTGGATTAACATTTATGGTTGTGGGAGAGAGGAAGATGGTATCTTAAACTACATGAAATTGAACGATGATATTATATCGTTTATAGCTAATTTTAAAGGCTTGCTTTTAAAGGGAAGACTTTTATAATTGTAAGCTTTAATATGTTCACTGTTTTGTTTCTTACTAAAATATCCTAGAGGTAATGACTGGATACATTTAGTGGGCTTTGAATGTAATTTTTCTGCCTTGATACCTACCATGTTAAAAGTGAAAGCAATGTAGATTCCCGTGTTAACAGCTACATTTGCAGTTTCTCTGAAATTTCCTAAAAGAGCTCCAGTTCTAGAAGATTGTGACATTTGGTTAGTGTGCCGTTGTTACACATTTCATAGAAAATGAAGTCATTGTATTTTTCAATAATCATTTAAAGTGTCACGCCTTGACCCTTCAAATGGAGTCCTTGGTGTGACAGAGAAAAACAAGAAAATAGTAAGGTGTGTTTGTGTGTGGGTACACACACACACACACACACACACACACACACACACACACTGGTTACTGATCTACAAATGAGCCCTCATACATAACCACAGTACTTTTATGAATTATTTTGCATTTCTGTTGTAAAAGATCTGTCTACCACGTTTTCTAGGAACTTGAAGCCTAAGGCAGAACTCAAGGTTTTGGAGCCTGTGTAAAATAATTTATAGCACCGTTCCAGCAAGTCTTGCCCAAACTCTTATTCTATTAATTAAACATCCTGTGGCAATCTGGTATATCTTAAAGATTTAAAGAATGGTATAATAGAAGACTAGAAAACATGAACAATTGAGGTTAAAGAAAATTAACCTTTCTTCTTTAAAAAAAAATCAAGACATAGTTGTTCTGAGATCTTTTTTTTTCTTCTGTGAAGACATAGCCTCTTAAGCATGGTCACGTTCTGTGCCTGAATCAGATTGTGCTGTTGGGATTCCTGTGCCGTGAAATGTCTGTTTTAAGTATGGAAACACTTCTTGTGGCTTCTAGTGGCCGTGGTGGCCGTGTGGAGACCTCCTCTTGCGTGGCCACGGGGCCAGAAGCAGGGAGTAGCCCATCACATCGACATAACGCAAAGCCTTGCTCCAGAACCAACCGCGTCTTCTGGGTGTACAGGGTTAAGAGATGTATGGGCTCCACTATACCATCCATCTTGTGGCAAGATCTGTTTAATAGATTTTTTTTGTTGTTGAAAAGTGTGTTCCTGGGAGATGATGAAATTGGTTTTTAATTTTGTTAAGAATCAACTACTTAAATCTGGAGAAAGTTGCTGAGAGAGAAGGAAAAGGAATGTTCTTAATTTTCGGCCAGGGGGACAATTCTTAGAGAAAAGGCTTGACATATGCCCGTGTCTCTCTTCTTACTGCCAAATGCCTAAGCAAATTGTTGCTTTTTTCCTTGGTAGTTCTCTGATCTGCAGATTTCTGTGTTGAAAGTTAGCTGTTTGGTGACACTGCATTTGGCGGTGAGAGTATGAATGTGAGAAGGTGTTTTGGAACATTAGCAATTACGGTATTGGATGGTGGATAAAGAAATAGATATATAAATATTAGACCGATGCACAGTTTTCCAGTGTATGTTATTTTCCATATAAAGATATAGAACATTTCATAAAATGTTCCCAGACCATTTAAAACTCCAAAGAAATGCAGCTGATGCAATGAAATACATAGAGTCCTTGTAAAAACATACAGACACGCAAGTGGATTGCTGCCAGACAGAAAATTTAAAGGCGGTTTGCTTAACTGCAGGGTGCTACGTTTTGTACAATGTGCCATGCTGAAACTGTTAGTAAGGCGGGTGTTGTGTTGCTTGAGAAAAGCAGATTGTATTTGGACCTTTTAAACTCAGATGTTTCCAATGTCGATATTTTGGTGACATTATGGCATTATGATCGACTCGATGTGAAAAAAGAGGATTTCACTCTGCTGTGCGAAATAGACATTTTAAGGAAACTCAAAAAAATTATTTTCAGTTTTTCTGTTAATTTTTACAAAATGGCTTTCATTGTGTTTTTTATCAGATAGGATCTTTGAGCTAAATCGAATGGGAGTTAGTAGGTTGGGCTTTGGGTTTTAAAAAGTGTTGCCCTCCCCATCCACTCCCCCACCCCCTGGCTCCACTTAAAAAAAAATTGCTTCAGAGAGTGTTAAGAACCCATGAAGTTTGCTTTTGTGAACCTCAAGGCCTTAAAGGAAAACACAAGCTTTATGCTTAGATCATAGTAAATAATAATCCATGTATTATCTTAGAACATGATTCTGTAAAACTCTGAGCGTCTCACTCTGGGGTTAGTTTTAGGACAGTTGAAAGAATTTGGTTGATGATGATAATTATGCCTACTACTAAGGCACTATTGAGGATAGTATGATTTGAATGAGTCCCATCTTGGCATTCCATAGTCATCTTTACCATTAGTATATTAAAATGAGTTGATATTTTTCCCCATGCTTCCTTCTCGTTTTAAAGTTCTATGCTGTATATGTAAATAAAATACATCTTCTAATTATTAATGTAGTTTCTTATTAACATAGTTGACCAAGGATGTAAAAGCCTTCCTTCTCCCACCCATAAACCAGAAACTTATTTTTTAATTTGAAGACTGTATCACCAATTTTGGTTTTTGAGATTCATCTCTTCACAGAAAGGTGATAAAAAGATAAGTCTTTGTGTTGTTTTTTTTTTTCCATCTTTATTTTCATGAGTATTTCTGTGGTTCCTGAGGCACCAACTACTGCAAGAAAGAGGACATGATATTAAAGATTTATATGTGAGTCATTTCTATATGAAGTTTTCTGGTTAAAGAGTGTTAATCACATGACAGTTGGAAGAAAAAGAAGATTATTTTGTGGCTTTCCCAACTTCTTTTTATTACTATGTCCCTCAGTGGCTTGCTTACAAGTGCATTTTTGTTTCAGTCTTGGGCCCAAATTTTAAATCCTAAAATACCAGTTTTTTCTGCACCAGGGTGATGTACGTATGTTTTAGGAATTGTAATCACTGCCTCTTACTTAAGGTCCCCCCAGCCCCACCCCAGCAGCACACTTTGAGAGGTTTGTTAGGCATCTGGTTGTATCTTTGCATCCTACTGGCTAACTCTTCCCTGTAGACCTTATGCTGCTCATGCCATACCGTTAGCGCCCTCTGGTCTCCTGTCTCAAGAGGGCCAAGTTCTTGTGTGATTTCAGCCCTTCCGGCCAGAGAGAAGCAACAGCTTCTTCCCCGGGCCTACTAGGGCAACCCTGAACAGTAAGTATGGCAGGGGGGATCACTCCAGAATTCTGCTGGTCACAGTCTACATGTATCCCTTGTCCCATTGAGTACTTGAAGATGCAGATTAAGAAAGAAATTGGTCCCCAGTTTGTAAGTCAACCAGAAGATCCTTCAAGAAGAGCTGAAATGGTATACAGATAGTTTCAGCTTTTTTGCATCGCCCGTTGATGGAAGCTTTGCTTTTTTGGTATGACTTTTTGAATATTCCTGCTTTTGTTACTAGTGTTGGGTTTTGAAAAAGAACACCCAGTGACTTGGATGACTCAAAACCTGGAATTTCTAGGGTTTAAATGTAGAATGTGAATAGGCTCTTCATTTTCTCCCTTTTCGATTCTTCACAGCAGAAAGGTTCTTGGCTGTACTTTTGTGTTGTGATTTGGAGGGTTTTAACTTTTACGTGGATTCACTCTCACAGAGAAGTAAATTGTTGTTTTAAAAGGTAGTTATGAAGAAAAAAAGATAGCTATGAAAACTTAATATGTTTTGTGATCAGTGTGTGAGGGGACCCTTAAATATTATGCTTTTCCATAAGCCTTTGCACTGATATGTCATTTCTCAAATATGTAATATTCTTATCACTTCCCCACAATGTGCCTCTGAGGAACCACATCTTTCTTTTATTAGAAAAGATTGAATGTTTTCCTAATCAATAGCAAATGGAGTGCTAATAGCTTTTAATTAGTATATTTCTGTATTGACTTACAGATGTGGCATTGGATTATCTTGCAATTATGATTGAAGAATCCAGTGACCCCTTTAGTGATTCCATTCTAAACAGATGGTCATAAGAGGTGTTTTCACCTGTGTGTTTTTACACTTTCTGAGCAAATCTCATTATGTTCAGTAGAACATAATATCTCATTTCATGATACTTTGTTTGCACCGACAGGCCTAAAGTCTATTGTTTGGTTCTGTTTTGAAGAAAACTTCATCTGGTCTTATCTGTATTTTCAAGAGTTCATAAGTATTTTGCTAAGGATATATTTTATTTTGAAAAACAAAGTTTTGCATTTGTTCCTTGAAAGACTTCTTCTCTTATGCCCTCCCCCCATAGCGCGCGCGCGCGCGCACACACACACACATATTGTCTCTCTCTCTTTCTGTCTCTCTGTCTCTGTCTCTGTCTCTCTCTGAAACTGGTGTTTAAGGTGGTTTATCAAACCCACATCTGTAACTATGAAAAGGAGGCTTCTGATTTGAGGGGAAAAAAAAGGCAAGCCAGGTTTAAGACTCGTATTCTTTGGAAAAATATATTGCGGGCCATTTGCGACTGGTAAGATTTTTGCATTAGGTAATAGTCTAAAGTTAACAGTAGCATCAGGTCTTCAAAATTCTTCTTTTTTATATTTCTGGAGGAGGGTAATGGGAGTGCCTTGCCGAGTCCTTCCTTGTGCTCATCAACATAGCAGCCTCAGCTGCCCCCCTTGGATCTCCTGCCAGGGCTGCTATCATCTTCTGATCAAATATTAATGTGTGATCCTCTGCTTGCTCACTAATCCAAAGCCAATTAATATTATCTGTCAATTATTTACAGATCCTGAGGTGCAGAGGCAATTCCCGGAGGACTACAGTGACCAGGTTCGGAATGCGTAATTAATTTTTTACATGACAAAATTTATTTCAGAGTTGTTCAACATATTATTACTGTTCTTTTTACTGAAAGAGATAAATGAATTTTTAGAGGGAAGAGAAATAGCAATTAGGAACCCAAGATAAAACGTAAAAACATATTGAGGTATAGGATTGAAAGTGTCGGTGCTAGATGTGGGGTGTTAACCTTCATGGAACAAATGCACAAAAAGTAGGGAAGAAAAAAACCTATCACAGATTTTTACTTTTTACTTTGAGGTATGCTATAGTCTGTAGTTCATTAGGAAATCCTTTTTGGGTTGCCTGTGAAATCTTTTTTTTTTTTTTTTTTTAAATGCTGTTTAAGCAGTCAAGAACCAGCATAACAAAAAAAGAGAGGATGTGGAGGGAAGCTTATCATATTTCCTGGAATTTGAAATAGATTATGAAGCTGTGTGTTAATGGTAGTGCTCCAAGGAGAAGATGCACATCCAGGAATGGTCTTCAGGGTGAGGTTAGTTCTAATGATGGTAGTGAAAGTTGTGGTTGGTTGGTTGGGCCTGCCATCTCGAATTTCCTGTGTCCTGCAAGCATGGGATGAAGTAGAAGGAAATATTTTAATCACAAAATAGTGCTGAAGTTCTGATGTTGCTCTACTCTTGATAATTAGATCTGGGTTATACATTCTGGATTCCAGTGTCTATCTTAAGAGATAGTAGAGATTTTTTTATAGCTTTTTTTTGGGGGGTTGCATCTTACATTTTTAGTTCAAATAAGCAATTTGGGATGCTTTTTAAAACCATTTCAAGATAGAAGCATCATTGATTACACTGAATAAAACAATTATAAAGCCTTTCACGTGTAGAATATTGTACACAATAAAAACATGTTTCTGAAGTACCTCCATTGAATTTTGTCTATTAAAAAATGTCCTTGAATGAGGGTATGTACAATGGGATTGAAATATCCAGTACAATAGTAGTAACACCTTTGCAATGTGGCCTGTTATATAGAGGGCAAGGTATCTGAGACATCTTTATGAATACAGGGGACATAATGTGACCAGGAAGATAACTGGATAATCAGTATAATGAGATGCTTTGTAATGAGATTTTATTGTACAAGAACCCAAGAGAACTGGTATGGTTTGCTTTGTGTGTGATCTCAAGACTTTTAAATGAGATTTTAAAAATACTAATCTTCTCTAACCCTTGCTTCATCTTCCAACAGGAGAGTTACATTTTTGTCTTGCCTTAAATTGCTGTGTGATTGATTGAGCCCATTGGATATAAACTACACAATCTAAAGATTATAAGACTTCTTTATTAATAATTTTTTTTCGTTAAGCAATGTCTAAAGGGTGGAAAATCTTGAAGTGTTGTTTTGAATAGACTTGAAGCCATAGCTCTTAAGAAAAATCATTATTCTAAAGTCTCTTGTCTAGGGAAATAACCTTTGTGGTCCTAGGTTCTGAATTACCCAACAAGAGAAAATTTTGTAGGACAAACCTGAAAATAACATGGTTAATATCTCCCTCTATCCCTTTAAACATAGTTTCTTACTATATCTGAAACTTTTTGATCAGGATGACTTTTTTTTTTTTTTGGTGTACCTTTTAACAATCACATGGGTAATATGTTCATGACAAAATATTTCGGAAAAATGGATAGATCAGCAATAAGTTTAAAAAAGAATGAAAAAAAATATAATTCATCCCTAATTTTACTACTCAGAGATAGCCACTATGACAATTTGGTGTTTATCTTCCCATGTTTGTTTTTCTGAGTATGTGTATATGTTTGTGTGTTTGGGGGGCATATATGTGTATATATATGGGTACTATACATATGTGTATATAGTATGGTGTGTGTATAGAGAAATACTATTGTTCTGTAGCATATGGAACTCAGTTTAGAGATTAAATAATATGTTATGAACTTAGTTCTCTTTACTTTGGTTACTGGATGTTATCACAAGTATTTCATATGGTGAAGTTGGAATAATTTAAAATTATGGTAAGAACCTAAAAAAATGAAGGTTTTCAGCTATTTTAAAGTACTCAGAGGATAGTTACTTGTTTCCTTTGTTTAGATATGTAGCATAATTTTAAAATTTGGAGGATGATATTCTTGAGCTAGATGCAGACTTATGAGAGTCTCATTTAACATCTCTTCCAACTTGGCATACGTGGTTTCCCTTCCTTATCACATATAACTTGAGAATGAAGGGTGAATGAAAGGTCTGTTTTTGGAGAAGTTACCCCCACATTCCCAGAAATTGATTTGACAGTTGATCCCTTGGTAAAGTGAATGAGACTTGCATATTTCTTATTTACCTTTTTATCATTTGGGTGCCGATCTTATATTTTTTCCTCCTCTTCTCAGCATTTGTTGGATTAATCAAATTATCTTTCCCCTTGGTGTACTATACTAAAGAGTTCTTAGAAATGTTTTATTCCACACAAACCTTAAGTGCTGAATATGTGCTTGATCAAGACAACATTTCTAGTATTAAAACATTTATGATGTAATCCATAAGGAATATTGGAGCTAATTCACCACAAAGTATAGTGCTTGTTACTTACATACGCACACACACAAAATTCCCTCCTCCAGTTTTCCTCCTCATTCGCCTAAACTACTAGTGCTTGTTTTTACATATAGTGTATTTCCCATGTACCAGCACACTTGATCAGAGACCCTTGCTGCTGCTAGATGTTTTATTCTGTGTGTTCTTTGTACCTTACAGTAAAAGAATCTGTCACAAATTATTGTGGCTCACTGCTTTAGAAACTGAGAAAAAAGGGAGGTTAGATTGACATCTGTGACTGAATAATGATGACCAGCCTTTTGGCTCTCCTTGAGCCACAAAGCTAGCACTGCCTTTAGAGTGGAAAAAGAAGTAAGAAGAAAGGGGAGGGATAAAAGAGAGTTACAAATCTGTGGTCCCGGAGATGTATTACTGTTGGACCAGTTGTCTGCGTGGTATGATAATCCATTTTGATCTTCTCTGTCTTAATTGTCTGCTAAAGACAAATGGGCAGTAAAAGTTCATCAGTTTCATCTTTTTGCTTCTCGTTTAGAAGCAGAATAAATGATCCATCACTACAGAAGTAGCCTTTCTTTCTGACACGGAAGTAATGCAGACCCAACACGTTTTATTAAAATGTTTTCCCCTCATTATTTCTCTCCTCTCAGCTCTGATAGATCTTACTGTTTCATAAAAAATGTAATCTGAAATGTAAATAAGGGTCTTGATTCAGAAGGAAGAAGTAATGAGCAGTCTGAGCCACATCTTAGGACTCTTGATTGTAATTACTGACAAAGTGATTTCTCTGTGCCCCATTTTTTTCTTCCTTAAGTTGTCTGTGACATCCTCAGACCGCAACGACATCTACGGTTTAAAACCATTAAATCACTGTAGCACTCAATATTTCATTTAAAATCTGGTAAGCCTGCTATCTTGAAACCTGAAAGTAGAGGCTTTGTTAATTCCAGAAAGACAAGCAATTCCTGTATTTTTGAAAATGGAAAAACAAACCAAAAAGGCAAAAGCAAGGGCTTTTCAGAGTTCACATTATTTATTCATCTGCTTTTGTTTGTTTAATGCTTAGCTAGTTTAAATACTAAAACATCAACATTGATAGGATTCTGACTTGAAAAGAATCCTGCATTAAAAAAAATCTTTTAACAATTTACTTAAGAAATGAAAATTGTGTCCCTAAGCATAATATGAAGTAGTCTAAATTTGGGGGGGGGGCGGGGGTGCTAAGATTCAAAAATCACAGATAGGATTTTTTAGTTACTTTGGTTTTGGTAGCTTAAACCAAATTCTTTTCAATCTCACTACAGGTTTAGATAACGAAGTTCTTAATAAAGCCTGTACCATAGAAAATTTTGTTAAAAAAGACAGAGTCACAACAAGACTATTTTTCATTTCCAGAAATGGTTCTCAAAGATATCAGCATGCCATTCTAGCATTAAAAATAAAATACAAAACATGAATATCTTTTTTTGCTGGAAATAGCCTGTAGTTAATTAAGTAGATTTATAATTATTCTGTTTACTGTATTCATTCATAATTATGGAAATAATTGGTAAAACTTTACTCATTGTGATTAGTGCAGTTTTAATGAATACTAATTGAATTAAGGGAAGAAAGGATAGTTAACATGTTAGCAAATTATGGTCAACCATTCTCATCAAAATCACATCTTTGGTTTCAAAACATTATATGCTTTTTCAGATTAAAAAGAACCTTTAGTAATTATAACATGTACTATGGGATAATTTGGAGTAAAGCTATGGTAACCTATCCGAAGATTTCCATAAATAGCCTTGTAATATGTCAAGTGTAATATGCATTACACATACCGTTTTAAAACATGTTAGTTATAATACGATTACCTCTTGTCCTAAAACATGAAGAATTAGTAATTTGTTCTTACAATTGCACTTTTTATAGCCTGTTTGTTCCAAGAGTAGTGCTTAGAGGGGCATGTGCTAGAAGTTGCTTCTCCAGTCTGCTCATCTATATTTTGGTGAAATATAGCCAGTGTCTTAGAGGTTTTTGAATAGAGGTCTGAGCACACTTACTCACCCTATTTATATAGTTCGCTGTTTAGAGTTGCAGGTAATTTTTCTTTCCACTGGCACTGAAGCAGAGGTTATAATGAAACCAACAATCTTTATGCATTTATAGAAACTATAAAAATTTTATGGAAATCTTTATATAGAACTAACAGTGTTTCTTGTACAAGCTCTATAAGCAATGTAGAAACATGGTATATTGGGAAAAATAAAAAGGTACCCTTTCTTTTATGGTTTTATGTGGTCTATGTGATTTTAAAATTTCACTATAGGCAGTTAAGCAAATTATAAAAACATACATCACCTATATACTAAAAAGGAACAAAAATATGTTGCATAACTTAGGCTAATTGTGATGGAAATTGGCATTTGTGAGTTGCGTGTAATTGCTTAAATATGGAGTTTTCATCTGTTCATACT